ATTTATTGTACCAAACTAAATAATGATTATTTTATTCTATTCCTACATCATAACTATTCTATTATTCACTCTCTAGTCTTTACAATCTTCAAAGCCTTATATTTATTAAGCTAATCATCATTTACTTCTCAATCTTTTATATTAATTGAGCTCATCAACTTTAGAAAGGCATCTTAACTTCTACATCTTTCTTTGTTATATTTTGAAAGAAGTTATACATTAACCATTAAAAGGTAATTGTTGATTATACTTTAATTATTAAAAAAGTAGAAAGGTCAAACTTTAGTCTCGAAAAAGTTTTGTAAAGGTTGTATTTGAACCTTGAAAACACATTTTTCATACTAAATTTCAAACTCTTTAAGTAAGTAAGGGGAATGGCATAAACAAAAAGATCAAATTTCTGTAAGATACTTGTGCAAGCTTCTCTTTATTTTTAGATTCTTACTTTGCTAAAAAACAAGTTTTAACAAGAGTAACAAAATGGTTTTTCAAGCTCACAAAATATTTGTCATCTCCAAAATTATAAAGTTTTTAAGGAATCTCATTCATCCCTCTCTCAAAATTTCACTCTTATTTAAGTTAACTAAACTAATAGATTCAAAATTAAGATTTTCATGTTTATGAAGTCTTGTTTCAATTGAAAAAAAGAAAAGAATTTAATATTTTTAAGTCTTAAGCTCGAGCTCCACTGTAAGTTGATTTTATATTTATGTTAAAAACTATTTATATGTAATTATAATTTTTATTTATGCGAATATGTCACCAAAATTAATAGAATTTTGACCTAAACTTTCACCCTACATTGATTTGTTAATTTATTTATTTAGTTTGTCTTTTAACTTATTTTACACCATATAATAGTTATGTTATCTATATTGAACTTATATAATTGTAATTATAATTTTTATTTGTACAAAGATATAAAAAAATCAAAGTTTTCATTTAAACTCCTACCATTTCAACCATCAAAGTTAAACTTAAGAAAATATATATATATATATATATTCGTAAGAAATATGTAATTTTCACAATGATTACAAAATTCATGAATATCGTTTTGAGAAAAAGAAAATTTGGTCAAAATCATTAGTAAAAATAATTAAATACTTCTTATGATCCGTTCCAATAATTAAACGTTTTACTATTAATGAACTAAATGTATTTCCACAAGGTTTTCAATAACATCATTGATCAAACTTATTAGGTAATTTTAATAATTACAACATTTTTTATCTATTTTATATTAATCATCCTTATCTTTATTCTCACATGTTTATTATAATATTTATAAAGAGATGATTTTTTTACATTTATAATAATCATAATTTATTTTAGGATGATTACGACAATTTTTATTTGCTTTACAACAAATATTATGTATTTTTAATCTTTTTTGACACATATTTACTTAAATTTTTAAAAATCTTATATTTTTAACATTATAAATTTATTTAATTCCAAAAAACTAATTATTTTGAATAAGAATTCTCAGTAATTAGTTTGAATGATACAAATCATTTTGAAATTGTTTATATAAAAAAATAATATTAAGATTTTTCTATTTGATGATATATGATATGACCTTAATTTAACTTATTTGTACACTTTTACGTTAAGATTTTAAAGATTTTAAGGAGGCTAATTTCAACTCTAAAGTGTTTCTTACTTATTTACGTTGAACTATAATCAGTTTATACTTATTGCTACATTGCATTGTATTTACAATCATTTTGATTCATTTAAAGTTGATTATGACAGTTGTCATTCATTTTATAGTAGATGTTACATGTGTGTATGTGTGTGTGTGTATATATATATATATATATATATATATATATATATATATTATTCAAGTTTTGGTTAGCTAATTCGAAAGATATAATTGTTATAAATTAAAAAAAAAACTAATATTTGGGTTTTATATTTTACGATAAATTATATGATTTTTTATTTTTATATATTTACATTCAGATTTTATGAAATTTAATTTGCCTAACATATAATCAAATTATATTTATTCTTATTTTTCATTGTGTTTAAAATAATTTATATTTTATTTTAAACTAATTATTATATTTTTTATCCATTTTATGTCAGATAAAACTACAAAATATAAAACTATCCGGCCCAGACCGTATTGGGCTTAGTGTTCATGTTTTTCCCGCATATCCGTATCACCTACAACATCGTTCCGGGCTACTTCAGGCTCATTGGTATGGACCGAATCTTAAAAAAAGGGTTTACGATAGCTTGCGTGAGCCGATCTCATGAATCCCAGTAAGTTCCGAATCCTAGTCGAAAACCGACCTCGAAAGCAACCAGATTTCTGGGCATAGCCGACATTTTAACTTTAAACCACGCGTCGCTCCAGCATTGGACAGACCAACTTTTCTCTCTCCGTTGTCTCACACGGCCTCCATCATGATATTTAGCGGAGCGGAGCCATCCGCAAATAAAAAAGGTCGAAAATATTTCACTTCACGGAGAAAAAAAAAAGAAAAAAGAGAGCTGTCCTTTTATTATTGTCTCAGTCTCTTTGAGAAAGCCCTCAATTCCTTCTTCCACCTCTTTAGATATTTTTGTGGCCCTAGATTTTCTCTCTGCTGGTTCTGCCTAAAATAGCCATGGTGAGATTTTCATTTTGATTTTCTTTTTGCTGTTATATTTTTTCCCTTTCATTTTAAGTCTTGGTCTTTGATCTTTGCTTCTTTGACTTACTATGGAATTTAAATTTTTTTTTTGGTTAATGTAGATCTGATTTGTCGTTATCTTGAACATAGATCTCTGTGTTTTCTGCTGATTAACGTAGTTTATTTTTTTTTGAAATTTTTTTAAAAAAATTTGATTGCTAGATTTCCATTTCCTTCATAATTTTTCATCCAATGGATGATTTTATAATAGAAATTTCGATTTTAATCGTTTGATCTCTTGCTTGCTGACTGCTGCTGTGTTGTCGTTTTGGATTGTAAATTCGTAATCAAATTTATGAATTTTATTATGGATAAAAGAAAATGCGTAAGTTAATCTCCATGGATCTGCCATTGTGATTGCTTTGAGAATTTATGTTTGATTACTTGTATTAGTAGGATTATAATGTTTAATGAAGTATTGATTGCTAAGCACCAGCTTCCTAATCCGTATGTTTTTCTCGACTTTTGGTTCAAAATGGGATTTTTTTGATCATTCTTCCATTGTCCATTTTGGATAGGTGATGATTTTGGATTTCGATTTTTTGTTTCTCATTATTTTTATAACAGTTAGTTTATGTTTTTCCACAAGATGATATGCATCAACGCAGAAGCCTGTCTTTTTGATGACCCATGACATGTCATCTCAACTACCTTTATTATTGTTGTTGTTGCTTGACTTTATCACAAACAGTCTCATTGGCATTCATCTCTCAGAGTGGCCCCAGTTAGTTAATACTTGTAAGATTGGAATATCGCATTTAGGCCGGTTAAATGTGAAGAATTTTCAAGTGATTTCAAGTTTACAGTTCATTGCCAGTTAGTTAATATTCTTAAGGTTGGAATGTTGCATTTAGGCCAGTTAAATGTGAAGAATTTTCAGGTGATTTCAAGTTTACAATTCATTGTTGAAACAATGGAAAATAAATGGGATGGATCAATGTGGTTGTCCTGTATGGTTAGTCATTGTGGGTTAGTTGAGGAAGTTGGGCTCTCATTTTAAAGAGTGTGAGAATGATAGTAGTTGATTTGAGTCATTGTTCTGCCCTTCCCTTCTTTTCTAAGTGGGAGAGAACTCAAAGACATGTGATTTCTTAATTATCCTGTTTATGATTTTATTTCTTGGGAATGCTTGCCAAGGGTAAAAAAAGGCGCTTAGAAAAAGCTGATGGATTAGTTGGTGATATATAATTTGAAGTTTTAAAGTGAGAAAGCTTATATATTCTACCCCATACTCTTACAGGCAAATGCAGCTTCTGGTATGGCTGTGCATGATGACTGCAAGCTGAAGTTTCTAGAGTTAAAGGCGAAAAGAACTTACCGCTTCATAGTATTCAAGATTGAGGAGAAACAAAAGCAGGTTGTTGTGGAAAAGCTTGGTGAGCCAACTCAAAGCTACGAGGATTTCACTGCAAGCCTCCCTGCTGATGAGTGTCGATATGCTGTATATGATTTTGACTTTGTGACTGCTGAGAATTGCCAGAAAAGCAAGATTTTCTTCATTGCATGGTATTATTATATGTTTTAAACTGGTCGCGTTTTACCGTTATTCCAAAGCCTGTATGTTTTAACTATTGATGTTTTTGTTTTCTTGCTGTTTGTATGAAGGTCTCCTGACACATCAAGGGTGAGAAGCAAGATGATTTATGCAAGCTCCAAGGACAGGTTCAAGAGAGAGTTGGATGGTATTCAAGTAGAGCTGCAAGCAACTGATCCCACTGAGATGGGACTTGATGTTATAAGAAGCCGAGCAAGCTAAATGGATCTATGAAATCTCCAACAGGCAGGAATGGAGATAATCAAATGCTTTCTGCTTTTGCTTTAAGTGAAATGTTAATAGGTTGTGGGGGCTCGGGTATCGACCTGACTGAATTATGATATTGGCTTGTTGTTCAAGTTTTTATATTGAAGTCATCGTCTAGAACAAGTTTTAGTAATTTCCATTTATATCTTATAATTTGTTATGCGTGGAGGTTATATGACGGAGTGTCTCACAGTTGAGTCATTAAACAAAAGTGTATCTTCTTCTGGGGGTATGGTACACACTTTGAGGTTTGTTCTTGCAACTTTTTAAAAATGGATGTTTGGTTACTCACATAACAGGGTGGTGCCTTTACAGATTAAAATGGTGGCTTGCATTATTTGAGTTTATTTGGTATGCAACATATCTGAAACTGTTCCTTAATGCCAACCTGATCTAGAACGTTTGCTAGTTGCTGGATTTAATGTGACATGCGTATGAAATATTAATGAAGTTGGTCATGTTTTTTTTTTGTAATGGGAGCGTTTCTGATTTCCACAATCTGTTTTATTCTTTGAATTTAATTTGAAGTATAAGTTAACGCATGTGTGACCATTGCAAGACTTCTGAGCTCATATTAGTAACCTGTTCAGCAATCATGGCTGGTTATATTCAGTTTTTTAAACTGGAGGGGCAAAGCATCAGGCTTTCTAGCCAACAGTCTGCTGTGAATTTATTGAGGCTCTCACTTGCTTCATCACCTTTTTACATCATGGTAATGAAATGAAATACGTATATGTCAAGAAATCGATACAATGCTCATGTATTTTTTTAATCTATCTGACATGAGATTCCATGACACATACCCATTCTTGTGTTTTGGTAACACATGCACGTTCTTGTGTTTTGGTTGGGGTTGAAGAGTATATTGCATCTTTAACAAGATGCTGACATCTACAGCCAATAAAAACAACTGGTCTGCTAGGCACCAAGAAAGTAGAAAGCATAGAGTTGCAGATTCACTTTCCCACAAAGTGGCCCTGTTGAATCGAACTATTGGAAGTAGAAGTTATCAACAAATAAGTAACGGAGGCCCCTGTTGAGCGTATTACAACTTACATTTGATCTAATGAATGGTAAGGCTTCAGTAAACTTTTTCGCCATCCTTACAGGCGCATGCTACAATCCTCTTACTTTACAAGGTTATGCTAATATACAGGAAGACTATCCAAAGAATACTGTCTTCTTTTCGGCAGAGGAGTGGATGAACCTGTCATTTCCTGAGGAAGACGATTAAGCTTAAACCATCATTCAATCGGTCGAGAATTTTAATGATATCATCTCTTAAGGCCACCCCCTTAACAACAGTTCTTTGGAACTCTGTTGAGTTTCCTCTCAAAAAATTTGTATCACAAAAAAAGGGTTTTCAAACATGCTTACTGTCCATCAATGTTCATACACGAATTCTTCAATCAAGTTCCATGAACAAGAGTATCATATGTAATCTGATTTGGCTTAACACCTCTTCTCAACATGTCATCACGCAATGCAAAAGCCTTTTTCAGTTGTCCAGCAACACAACAACCATGTATCAAAAAATTATAAGCCAGTGTATCAGGCTTTATACCCTTATTTAGCATAGAGCCCCACAGCTGAATAGCTTCCTGTAAACTACCCCTTCTACAGTGCTCATAAATTATAGTTGAATAAGTAATACAGTCTGGGAAAATACCATGGTCACTCATTCCAACTAAAAGCTCCATGGCCTCCTGAAGTCTACCCAATTTACAAAAGCCACGGATAAGTATATTGTATGTGACTGTGTTAGCTAAAACCCCTTTAACAATTGCATGGTGAAGCTCTACAGCTTTCACCATATTTCCTTCCTTGGTGAGACGATCAATGAAACAACCATAGGTTATCTGATTCGGAAGCAAATTACTGTCCAGCATTTCTCTACAAAGAAGCTCAGCTTTATCCAAGAACCCTGCCTTACATAAGCCATTTATCAGAGCAGTATATGTCACAACATTTGGAATGCACCCTTCACCAACCATAATATCCCAAAGCCCAAAAGCCTCCCTAAGATTTCCTGCTTTACCATGGGCATCAATCATGCTTGTATATATCACATTGTCAGGGCTCAATCCTTGATCATCCATCTCCTTTAAAAGACCAAATAACCTTCTTGTGTCATGCTGTCTTAGAGTTCCATCAATAAGTACACCATAGCACACAAGATCCATGTCAATGCCTTGTGCAACCATGTCACGACATGCACTCAATGCATCCTCTAATTTTCCTTCCTTGCAATAACCATGTAAGAGTGCACTATAGCACATCTCATTCAACTTATGATGATCTCTGTGAAGGCCATCCATGAACTCTTTGGCTTCCGACACTCTACCAGTAGCACAAAGACCACTTATTAAAGGCCTATAAGTATATGTGTCAGGCACAAGACCTTTCCCTACCATTTCGTCAAGCAATTCGAAGGCCTTTACCATGTTACCATCCCCGCAATGCCCCTCAATCAGAACATTATATGTCACCTCATTGGGCAAAATGTTTCTCTCTACCATTTGACCAAACAATCTAATTGCCTCAGCCATCATATTTGCTCGACAAAGGCCAGATATAAGGGCGGTATATGTGTAAGTGTTTGGTGCAATTCCCTTCCCTGTCATCTCATGATAGAGCCTAAATGCCTTATGCAATTTCCCTTCATTGCAATATCCACTTAATAATGATGTATAAGTTATCACTGTTGGCTGCAATCCTTTGTTAATCATCTCACTGAGAAATGACTCTGCTAAACTCAAATTTCCTACCTTGCAGTGCCCACTGATCAAAGAATTGTAGGGATAGACTGTTACTTTTATGCCTGCCTCCATCATTTTCCCAAGAAAACTAAGTGCAATATCCATTTTTCCTCTTCTACAAAATGAATCAATCAAAATAGAATAAGTAACATCATTTGGATTCAAACCCTTGCTTTCCATTTCATTGAAAAGCAACTCTGCTTCATCAAATTTCCCGTCTTTGCACAATGAATTAATCAATGCATTGTAAACAAACAAATTAGGTGCTACCCCAAGTTCCCCTACTTTCTTTATTAAACCAAAAGCATCCTCAGTCTTTCCCTTCCTCCTCAACCCGTCAACTAGACTTGAAACTACAGCTTCACTGGGAAGAAAACCCAACTCTATCATTTCCTTCATCAACTCCACAGCAACATCAAATGCTTCCACTCTGCATAAGCCAAGAACTAATGTACGATACGTGACAACATCTGCTCTCAACCCCCTTTGAACCAAACCATTTTTAATCTCAACCGCCTCCCATGCCCTCTGACTCTTACAAAGCCCATGAATAAACACATTGTAAACAACCACATTCAACTCGCTCCCATTCAACTCCATTTGACAAACCATTTGGTTAGCTCTAACAAAATCCTTCAATTCACACAAACTACGAATCACCACTGTGTTTATAAAAATATCAGGCCTAATTCCGGCTTTAACAATCTCATCAAACACTTGCAAAACAACACCAAATTGCCTTATTTTTGCTAAATCGTTTAAAAGAGCACTTAAAGTCCTAATTTCAGGAAATAAATAACAATCAAACTTCCTCATTAACCTAAATATCATTAAACCATCAAAAGCTCTCTTATTTTGCACATAATTTTGAATCAACAAATCAAAACCCGAACTCGAATGAAACTTACATTTCTCATAGGCCTTCGAAAGAGCTTCAAAAACCTCAATTGGACTCAACCCACGAAGCAAAAGCGTTTGTAAAAGCGAGGAGGCGGGCCAGAAGAGATTGACGTTAACTAAAGCGTGAATCAATACGCAAAACGACGCCGTTGAATGGTGGAAGTTTCTGTGGAGTCCCAGGAAGTTAAAGAACCTTAAAGCTAACCTCGGGTCGTCCAAGGTTTGGATCAACACTTCCTCGACGTGGTCAGGCTTTAGGAAAACCGTGTCGTTTAATGCGATCTTCCAGCTTTGTCTTCCTCGCACAATGAGTTTGAGCTTGGAAATGATCTGGGTGTCTTTGTTTTTGTCGTCATTATCTTGAGTGGAGAATTTGGATGTAGAAGAAAATATTTGTTTCGGGAAAAAGTTTGGGGTTTTGAGAGACCGAGGAGACCGGGCTAGCTTCATTTTCGGGATTAAATGGGAGGTTCTTTTCTAGATTTGAAGCATGCGTTTCGGGGGGCTTGCAGAGATGGGAGCTTTCATCAGCGTATGAGAGTTCCAGGGCAGAGCTTGCTGAGACTGTGGACGGGTCAACCCGGAGAGACCAAAGGTACGCACGTTGGGCTAGTGGGGTATTTAGTCCGATTAGTTGAGCCTTGATGAACGCCCACACAAAGATATGCAAGTCTGGCCGACTTTTTGTCGGGCTTAGACAAACAATTTAGAACCCAAGCCGACTCTGGTCTAAGTCCGACTACGTGACTACTAGTTTCAATTTTACTAGTATAAATTATTTTTACCAATAGCATCACACACATTAACGATCTATCAAGTATTATGCTCGAAATTGTAATACCATAGATTAAAAATATCATGCATTATACTTGAAATACTATAATCACAGCTCAAATAATATATCAAGCATTTATGTCGGAATCATAGCACCACATGCTAAAATTTTTAATTATCCATACAAAATGAAAAATCGTTTTCTCATTTTATTTATTTAATTTTTTGAGAGAACTATTTATTTGAAATTTGAATTAGACATTTTCAAACTCTAAGAGAATACTCTTTTTGAACATAATTTTTTTTTTTGCTACATATGATGGATTTGAATTTTTAACCTTTTGCCCCTAAAAAAATATGACAATGGCTTAGGGGTAACGTACTTTATGCTTGGAATAATTAATGGATGTGTTGTAGTCGTATTGATTAATTAATCCCTTTTCACGTACAATTGATTACATAATGAACAAGATTTAAGAAAACAACATACAAAAAAAAATCATTATAAAAATATATTATTCATAAACAATGATGTTAACTATGGTAATTACATTGTTACATTTTCTGGGTTATAATAATTGATTCCTTATTACGAGCATTAGCTTGACAAGTTGTGAAATTTGAAGAATTTATTATTATTATTTTACATTTATGTTTTAATTTGTTAAAATATATATATATATATATATATATGCATACATGTTTCAATCTAGTCAAAGATTAATATATGTATACAATTATAATCATAAAGACAAAGAAAATAATAATTACTATATCATATACGAATCTATGCATTGTGATTTAAATTAATTCCAAATAACATAAGCAAATTCCATATATGTATCTATCACGTTGTGATTTAAAAGTTTTGTATATGAATTCCGCATTTCTAATGAAGAATAACATTTCTATTAAATTAATTAAGGTAATTAGAATTTTAAAAGTTGGTACTATTACTTCTTGGATGTGTAAACAAAAAATTTATGAAAATATTTATAATAAACAATAAAAAGATATTAATATTGACGAGATATTAATAAAATATAAGTTATAAATATTTTATTTGAATTTTCAATTGAGCCAAATATTTATCTTTTTAGTGTCATGTTCTTGAAATATTAGCGAATATGATATATTCCTCTTATTGGGTGAACATTTATCAACACATTGATATCAATATGATTTTCAGTACTAATCTCAAATTCTCATTATTATCTTAGTAATCAATATTAGAATGACAAACATTTCAATAATATCTGTAATAAAAGGAACTTTATAATATATAAAATAATATGAGTTATTTTTCTCGTAATATTTAATAAGTACAAGATTAATTTGTTTCATGAATCGAGTATCAAGAAATGTGTCAATTATCACACAGCATAATTTTAATAATCATTTTAAAATAAAAAAAAGTCACAACCCACTAGTTTGAAATAAGCATGAGAGTGTAATTATGAGATGGATAATGAGCAATGGAAACAAAATTTGCTACTCCTTATGCAATCTAATTAATTTATTGAATATAAAAATGACATTTGAATTGCCTTCTTTATTTTCTCAGATGAATTGCCATCATTAAATAAACATTTTTAATAGGGGCAGGCATCAATGCGTAATTACATATTCAATACTAATTAATCTATAATTATATTTACATAAATAATAATATATACTTAATTTTGATTATTAATATATTATCTCTCTCTTTGCATATTATATAAAGATTACAAGACTAAATAAAGGGCAATAAATGAATGGAACAAGATAACAACAATGAAAATAATCTAGTACACGTGACATGGCTCATAGGTTAAATTGATTGTTAAGATGCTTTTGAAGAATTTGACTTGATGGCTCTTATATAAAAATTATTAATTTTTTTTAACATTTTATTAAAGGATGGGTATAGTTTATATATAAGAGCTTTGATAATTTATCAAAGACAAATCAAAAACTCATTTGAGTCAGTTGTAAGATGCTTGTCTTTACACTATTTCAAATACTTCTTATTTTACTCGGCTCTTTCCACTTTATTTTCTAATACTCCTATTTTTATTTTTATATTTAATCCATCGTTGTCTACTACAATAAATCTTGTTTGATTGGATTGGACTGTACATTGTAATTTATAAAAAAATTACAAATCGTATTAAGAATTAATTAATTGCTTTTAATTTCAAATAATAAGTTTAAGATCAGCATAAGTTTAATTTTAACATGCTTATAAATGATAAAGTTTATTTGATTGAATTGAAATGCAATTTTCCAATATTGATGGACGACAATTTAAAATTGATTCTTCACTTGGGCGGGCAGCGAAAAGTGTCTCGAAATGCTAAACGGATCACCGGCGCACAACCCTAGCTCATCAATCCCAGCCGCATAATTCCAACGAATGACAAACCGCCACGTCTATATCCACTTCCCCCACGTAAACTATCCTTCACGCATCTTTCCAAGCCGTCGATCTAAATTCCTCATCCAAAGGTCAGAAAACTCCAGATTAGCAATCCGCGTCTCTCCAAATCCTCCAATCAAACTCTCCGATTCCCCTCTATAAATGTCAAACCCCAACTACCTCATTTCCCCACTCACAATCAGACGCCAAAAAGGAAGCAAATTTTCCAACTTCTTTACTCAAAACTTTCGTTGTTTTCCAAAAAGAAAGGGAAGAGAAATTCTCAATGGCGCCAAAAGCTGAGAAGAAGCCGGCCGAGAAGAAGCCAGCTGAGAAGCCATCGGAGGAGAAGAAGACCACCGTCGGCGAGAAAGCCCCTGCTGAGAAGAAACCAAAGGCCGGGAAGAAGCTTCCCAAGGAAGGCGCAGCAGCCGGAGACAAGAAGAAGAAGAGAGCCAAGAAAAGCGTTGAGACCTACAAGATCTACATCTTTAAGGTGCTCAAGCAAGTCCACCCAGATATCGGGATCTCAAGCAAGGCCATGGGAATCATGAACAGTTTCATCAATGATATATTCGAGAAGCTTGCTCAAGAGGCTTCTAGACTCGCAAGGTACAACAAGAAGCCCACCATTACATCCAGGGAAATTCAGACTGCTGTTAGGCTTGTACTTCCTGGAGAGCTTGCCAAACACGCTGTCTCGGAAGGCACTAAGGCGGTGACCAAGTTTACTAGCTCTTGAATTTTGGAGGGTGAAAATGTTAGGGTTTCTGTAATTGGGGGATTTTGTGAATTTGGTGCCATTTGGGAATTAAGGGTTAGGATCTTATGGTAGTGTTATTTGATGTTTGCTCTTTATAACTTTTAGTTGGTTAATGTAGTTTTGATGGATGTAAGTACTTTGGATTGATGGATTTAAAATGCTTGAAATGAAAATGCTTCTTTTTGTTCGATAAATTAGCTTTGTTCCATTTCAAATTTATTTTAATTGATTATTGCACTTGTAAGTAGTAATTGATGCCGAAGGGAGATTGTTTTTGTTACTGTTTGTAGCTTGAGAAGCGTGTCATTTGGAGAGCCATGGCGGTTTTGGCTATTTGTTGTGCGGCGATTTCAGTCAATGCCTTGGAATCCTTTCCTGAAATAGCAATGCTGGTATGCTACTAGGTGAGTGGGACATAGTTATGTTGAAAGTAGGCTTGGTTTTGCTAATTCTTTTGATAACTCTATTGTCCTTTCCCTTCTGTTTTTCATCGTTTTTCCCTCTGTTTTTCTCTGTTTATCCTTTTTACTCATATCCTATCTCATTTGTTTGATCCCGTGACTTTCCCACATCACCTATTCATCAAATTACTTAATGGATTTGGTTAATTGGTTTAGTTGACAAGGTATTTTGTCTTCAAGATAGAGTTGGTTCGTATATTGTCTTCTGAAAATCATTCCATGTTACCCTCATCTTTTGTCACATTCTAATAAGATTAATATGGTTTTTGTATTAAAGCTTTGCTTGGTAGGTGAGGTGATCAAGTAGAGAGATAGAAGAGATAAGAAACATGTGAGGAACTGAAAAATCTCTTCTTTCCTTTATGGCTGATAGCAAGAGTAGAGCAGGGAAAAGAAAGGAAAAACTGTTTACATCTTTTTTTTTCTTTATTTATCATACATTTTTTACTATAAGATGAGATGGACAAGAGTGAAACATGAATAATATGGAATGTTTATATATATTTGTTTATCTCCTATTATTTGCTATGTGGTCTGGTTCAGAGTGGTGGAGCAATTCCAAACCTTGTTATACACTGTAAATATTTCTTAGCTTAGCATTGGTTGCCATCCAAGTTGATGGTACCTTTCCTCATTATATGTTAATATGTTCACTCTTGTTGTATTTGACTTTCTCATTTAGTGTGTTTTCTGGGTTAAGGCTGAAAGCTGGTGGATCAGTCATTTCAAGGCAAGGGATCAAACGTTCCATAACATAATCTTCTTTTATGAGGGACATTCCTCAAATGAAACAGGCTGCTGGTTGTTCAAATTAAAACATTAAATGAACCCTTCTTTCACAGGACTGCTTAATGAATAACTTCCCTGTATTTAATAGGGGATAGCGTACATATTAGTCGCAAATTCAGGTTGTATAAATTCTATTTGATTATCAATTTAACCATTGCTTTTGCTTTTGCTTTAGAAAGGAAAATGCAAAGGAAATTATACTCTTAGATACAAGAGCAACAGTGAAGAATTAAAGGTTCGATTTTTGAGTTCTATGAGGAGTTCTTTGTATTATCCTTATTTGTTTGTTAATAAAAATATTTTTTAAATTCTCTAAATTGTTTTTTAAATATAAAAATACAATTGTTCTTTGTCCAATTCAGTGGGATAAATTAAAATTTTAAATATTTGTTAACTATATTATATCAAAACATTTCAGGATTTCAGCAGCTGTGTCCATCACGCCCAATTTGAATCCCTACCTGCATATAGCCTGTAGGGCTTGACTAGACTCTCCCAATTAGTCCAAACCAAACATGTCTAACCATTTATTTGCAGTATCGTCCTGGCGTAATTTTGTCCCAGGGGCTAACAACTTGATTCAGTTGATCGTATATTATATAAGCAATCCCCCATCGAAATTATCTTAGTTTAAATTAACACTCATCATGGAAGAGATTGAATATTATATCGCTGAATGACCAGAAATACCTATAACTTCCTTTTACTTCTATTATTTGAGATGCCTATCACGAAAGACAAATGAAGTTTTTTTGAAAAACTGTAAAGTCCACTTATGAACCTGCCCATTAACTAACTGCTTATTTACAAATTGATATTTCTCTTTACCTTAGCTTTTACGAAGTCTCAACCCCCTTTTGAACAGGATTTATACAGAGCTTTAACTATCTAACATTGACCTCCGAAAGCTGGTTTCATCGCTCCCTGCCCCTCCATCGAAGAGGGTGGACGGGTGGCCTCGAAAGGAATTGGACCCCATCATAAAACTTGGAGTCTTCTATGTGTGTGTGTGTGTGTATATATATATATATATATCAGTTTGTCTTGGTTGTGCTGGTTTGACAGAGGCAGTTATTGGACAATAACTTGCATAATTGGATCGTTGGGTAGAGATAGGCAACTGGGCAGTTAAAGGTGAGGACAAGGGACTTGGATGGCCTAGATTAGGGGTGTCAATACGAGGTGGACTGGCCCAACCCGGCCCAAGTTTTTGTGAGTTGAAAAAGTATGAATTGGATCGATTCAGTTCATTTTTTACATTACCATCAAAATTCTAACTCAGCCCACTCTTTGTTAACTTATGAGTCAGGTTGGATTAGTCTAATTTTTTCAACAAAAAGTAATTTTTATAAGTTTACTTAACAAACTTTCTATAAATAAAATTATACTATAATTTAATTTATAAATTAAATAATAAAAATATATTATAAATAAATAAATTACACTAAATATAAATAAATAATTAAATTACATAAATAAAGTTTCAATTTTTAGCCTAAAGTATCATCTTGTAAACATAAGTATATAACTAAATAATAAAAACTTCAACATTTATTTATATTCTCCGTAATCCTCATCCTCAAGTAAAATATTTAAATTTTGTTTAGACAACAATAATATCTTAAGATTTGAATCATTATTAATTTATTATCCAATATTTATTATCATACAAGAAAAAGAAATACTAAGTTTTAAACTGAATTAAAATTATTAATTTGACAAGTAAAGATTAAAGATATTGAAAATATATAAAATAAACAACCTCATTAGTTATTAAATTATTAATTTTATATAATTAAATATATAAAAGTATTAAATTAATTAAAATTATTATTTTTTTAACCCACAAGATTGGCCCATCCCAATCCATCTTAGCTCATTGATCAGATGGGTTAACCTTTTTAGACTCGATTTTAATACGAATTTAAATTTTCAAACCCAACTTATCTCATTTTCAATAATAAATAAATCGACTCAATGGGTCTGACCTATTTTGGTAGGTCTAAGATGGAGATGGACTTCCTAATTTGATAGAGTAGGATGGATAGAAGTCGTCATTACCTTTGTTGATTCAAAACAGTTTGCTTCGAAAGGTCGACCTTTGGTGGACACCACTCCGACATGTCATCATCATCATCATCATAAAAGATGTTCTTATGTGGTGCAACTATGGTAGTGATAATAAGTGTAAAGGTTGTGCTGCTTTTGGTGGTCTGTTTTGGTTCTAAAATTGGTAACACTGGGGTCTGATCACGTTCATAAGCTTTCGTTCGTGGAGGCAAGTTTAGAATAGTGTCAAATGAAAACTCAGGAAGACGGAAATTTTCTGCTCGTCTTTTATTTGGAGAAGGTAGTGACTGTATAGTTGAAGTCAATGGCAATGCCCCAACAATTTTCTTTACTCCTTCAACCAGAACTTTCTTGTGAAATTCTGCAGTATCGAAAACCTTATTTCTGGGAGTTTGAGATATATCAAACGCAGTCCCAAAATCAAATTCTGGAAGATCATCATCATCAACAGCAGGAATGTGCTCTTTTGTTGTAACTGATGGCAGAGGCAAGACAGGATTTTGAAGTCCTAAACTAGATTTAGGTTTCTCTTGTTCTGAGTTAGCTATAAGGGACAGTTCCCTTTCAGAAGACTACCCCTTGGGTCCGAAGTGACAGACAGAGTCAGAACACGAATATTTTTGAAGTCCTTCCTATGATCTCAATGCTTGTCTGCGACGTTAAATTACTTTAGAGTTGAATTTCAAAATCCCTGCACCCTTATCTACAATCAATTTAATATATATATATATATATATATATATATTCATACTCTCGAGCTGCTCTTGCTAATTCTGCTACGCATGAGGGAAAGGGGCAGGTTTGTTTTGGCCAAAATTGGCTTCAACTACTGTGATGTTTATGTTGTTTTTTTTTTTAAACAAACTTAGTTAATATCGAGATAATATTTAATGTGGTTTTGCATCTATAGTTTATATTTACGGATAAAAAGGAAAAATTAACGATGAACGTAAAGATCATAAAGAATACAAAATATCTAAAAATGAACAATAAACTTAAGATTTTGTGCACTTGGAGTGAACAAACAGAGAAAACTGTGTGTATTTGGTACATGGACTGAACATGAATGACGATGGAAAACTGAATTTCAAAAACGTCTGGTGGATGTATGCCACAGTCAAACAGATCGCATGGAGTACAAGCACTGTGGAAATATTCTTTTTAAAATATTTTTAAAAATTAATAATTATAGCTCATGCTGACAATATCTTCTGTGTACAGTCAATTGTTGATGGGGAGTGCGGTTGTTGCGAGATATGGATAGGAAAGCTTATATTGATGTGGCATGGATATGCTGTAAGCATTTTGTCATGGCAAGACTGATTGTGTTATGGTAAATTACCAGGAGGTAGTTCTTTTGTAAAGCTCTCTTAATGAAATTACTTTTCAAAAAAAAAAAAAAAAGGAAAGTAGTTGGCTTGGGATTGTTCTACCATCAAACCGAATGAATTTGAAATTAAATCTGGGTTGATTCGGACAAGTGTGAACATAGATTTTGATTTTACAGCTGTTATGGATAGTGGTCTACTGTAATTGAGATAATAATGGTTTTGCATTATTAAGTTTTGATTGAAATTAAATATATTAATTTTAAAAATAAACATTTCGAAATACAAATATTTTAATAAAAATCATTAAAAGATTAAAATATTTTTTATTTTTATTAATTTAAAAAATTATTATTATATTAAAAAAATGTAAAAAAAAGAGCACTCACTCACGAGTACCAATTGTGCTCCCCATTTGGGAAGCACCGGTACTCTCCATTCGGGAAGCCTTTTTATTAATTAATAAATAAATAATAAAAAATAATGAAATTATATAATAATTATTATAAAAATTAATTAAAAATAAAATTATTTTTTTATTTTTAT